ATGATTTATTGATGCACAGCATCACGAAGTAAACCATCTGATAAACTCAACAAATTGGAAACAGCCTAATTGGTCATGAAATCTTCTTGGTTTCGATCACGAATTATATTTTCGGCCTCTTCTATAATCAGAACTGAGTTTGGATGTTGCATAAGAAATGGTAAGAAACTCGGCTTTGTCATATCCTAAAATGAATAAAATATTAGTTTAGTCATCATTCTATGCTCTTTTATTTATACTATCTGCAATTCTTCGACAATGCAACATAAAATACGAATGATTTTATCGATAAATATTGTCAGCATGCCTTGAGAAGGATGATAAATTATGCAAAGAGCAATTTAGTTCGGCAATATTTAGTTTAACGATCAATTTTTAGTCGTATAGAAAAAATTGATTTTCAAAAGTTTACCTGTAGCTTTCAAGATAAAATATCTTCATGCTTTTCAAATGAGTCGACTTCAACAAACAATTCCGATCAAACTTTTTATTCTCAATATAACACCGAATCAGGATTGTTTTTGAAAAGAATATATTCGAGGGCGATAAATAGTATAATGATTCTGTTTAAAATCATTAAGATCAATATTCAAAACACTACTACATATACTCTATTGAAAACAACTTTTTATGCTGATTTCAAGAATGGTATTCTTCTCTAGTTTAAGTAAATTAATAAATCAACTGGCGACATTGTGATTGGAAAAATGACGTCAAACTAGAATTTGTATTGGAGTTGTTCAAAACATTTAACGATTTGTTCAATGACCATGATGAACTACATAGCAACGATATCAGGTACTTAGGTTACTATTAAAAAATTTTTGACATATAGCCAAAATAAGGTTTTATGTAAGAGAGATAACAAGATAATAAATTGATAACAGGATCTTCAAAAATCGAATCTCAGTGAAATTTTTCTTCTCATGTTCTATTAATGACATCTACATATACCGTTGCTAATGATTGTGATTGTTGTTGTTGTTTTATTCGAAATAACGAATTCAGGAGAAATCAATAGGAACGGCATATTCAAATAAGAAGAAGCAGCACAAAAGAATAAAAAAAAAAGAAATATATAAAATCTAATACAATTTCGATCAATATTGATAAATAACTAAAAATATTATTAAAATATAATCTAGGATTATTTGCCTGTTTTTTTTTTCCATTAGATTTTTTTCTATTATTTGAAGACCTATAATAGAGTCCTTGTCTACCGATGAAAAGCAGTATTTTAGTTAGAAGAAAATAATAAAATATGTACTCCAGCATAACAATATATATAATAAATCTAAATAGTTATCAAATACGATATGCTTTTTCAACAAATAGATAAATTAAGGTATCATGTTAGAGTTACTTTATTTGATTAGCAAGTAGATATATTCTCTCATCGATAACTAGCTTTTAATTGTTCACGATTATTTTAGAATAATAGCCATGTGCAGTCAGATCCCAATTATACATTCAATTGAGAGAAAATTTCAGATTCAACAGCATTTTACCAACTGGTAATACTGATGAAATATTGATGCAAGGTTTTTTTCAATCATAATTCATTGTATGTTGAATTGAGATATTGAAGAGGAGCAGATAAGGATGATGATGATGATAAGAAAAAAAACAATGGATAAATATGAAATTTTGCGAGAAAACTTTCTAGGCAGTCTTTTAACCTGATATGTCAAACTTATAGATTGTCTATTACTTTATTGTATTGATGCAAGCAGATGTTAGCTGAAAAGTTACTGCTAGGCACTATTTATTTACGCAATAATCGATCATGAAAGCGGAGATTTCTTATGTTTATTAGAACTTTTTTTTTTTACAGAAGCACTAGTTTTTGTTTGTATTGTTGCTATTCTCTTGTCATTTGTCTTTTTCTTATTGTAAGCTTCGTAATGTAACTTTATTATTTTCGTTCGCCTCGATTCGAATAGAAAAGTAGGATTGCTGTAAATATCCTTTAATATTGATTAGACTACCAGAGTTTTACATACAAATAGATATATTCATAAATTTCGTTAGTTTGATTATTAGACTATATAATGTATTATTTCAAATTTCAACATAAGTTTTAAAATATTCTAGGAGTATTGTAGCACTGTTGTTGTTGTTCAATGCATGAAATTTCAATCCCTAAAGTCTGTAATGTAGAGGCAGGCCAAGAATTGCAAAACTTCTATTTAAAGTTTAAGTTCAGTATTTACTTGTAAATTATCGGTGCATTCTGCAAGATGAACGCTTACAAAATAAGAAAAAATGAACAGTATAGAAATAGTGTGCATGATTAAACATACGAGTTTGATAATAGTTATTATTCGATGAAGTGATAGGAACAATTGATAAAAACTAGAGTGATTGTTTTAATTATTGATAATACGTAGATGAAAGCGTGTTATGCATAAAGATCAACCTTACACTCATATCCTTCTATCCCATATAAGAGGAAAAAATCACGAATGTTTCACTGTAAATTTAGTAAGCAGCCCGTCTCTTAATGTATTCAATATGATTGAATAAATTCTATTTTCTATATAGAGCTTCTCATTGTGTCGTTGTGTATAATACTTCATAGAGGTGAGCTGAATTTCTTTCAAGACAAAAAACAGAACATTTTTTTTTCTTTCCATACAGACTGAATATAAATAGAAGGCACCTAATATTTTCAATATTCAAAAATTTCTGTTTGTTCTCTGATGAAAAATAATTCATGATTAGAAGGTGGAAACCAATCAGACAACATGTAGCCAATTTTATGTAGCAAACAAGATTCTTCTTTTCTTTTGTAGAAGAATTAATAAATTACTTTGCGTTCTATTTCATAATACAAGATACCGTGTAGTTAGATTGTGCAAATCGAAGTTACAAACGTGTTCTCATCATTGAATTATTTTTATTAAAGAAGTAAAATTCACACGACTATAGCCAGTAAGATGAAGATCGAATTAAAAAGTTTATCACCATCACCGACGTCAAATTTTCACCCAATGTCCATCTGGTCAGAAAATGCGACATCAAGTGTGCTTGCACAAGATTTCTCTGTCAAAAATAGAGCCAAAACAGAAGACGATGATGACGATAGGTAAAAATAAACTACGATATTATTTGTGTAACAAGATCATCTAGACAGTGCGTCTATTTCTCTGTTTTATCTAATCCAGTAGTAACAATAAGAAAAGATCTTTTCTTTGGCTACTATGCTGCAAATGTTGTATCGTCGGAATGTTGCTCGGTGGTATAGCTCTGGCTATAATACTCACTCTTTGGTTGACAACAGGATCGGATATGTCAGCAACAATATCTCAAAGTATGTTCTGAAAAAAGAAGAAAGGGTTCAATAACATGCGAGATCAGTTTTCTAAAGAAACTTTTTTTTTTCGTCAATGTTTCACAGTCGCAAAACATGGTCAAAACTAATCTCTTGTTTAATCAGTCATATTATACTTCATAATATTATTTACACACTTATCGAGATAGACAAATATCATCTGAGATCGAGCGAATTACTCTGTTAATTAAGCATATCGATCATCAGTGACTTGCACGTCAATTTATTTAAGATTCGCTTATTTTTGGATGTTGCAATTAACTTTGACTAAAAGTTAAGTTATTATCTTTTGTTTTTGATACTTAATTTCATCTATATCTTCTTTTTTATTGCGAGATGCAAATAATTTAAATCTAACACATAATAAATTATTAATGATTGAAAGTTACTTGAAATGAGCAGGCACGTGTCATTATTTATGAAAATGATAATTAGTTTTTTTTACGAATCTGGTGGCCAACTAGATCAGCTATCATATAATATGCTAAAGCTTTCAGGTATTACTACGACAGTGAATGTAGTTGAGGGTCACTTTTTCACCATCACATCAACAATATGCTCGTCAAAGTCATACAAGTAGTTAGTGTGTATGCTTTTTTTTAGCATGAATTCATTACATAATCAGTAACCTATTGTACATTATCATATCGTTCTCTTCGTGGAGTACTTTGAGGACCGTCATCGTCAATTTTTTGTGTTAAGTGAACATGCTAAAAAAACCTAGACAGAGATCTAAAGATCATTTTATAACAGTTACTTGTCAATTCTTGCAGTTCACTAAAAGTCCCACACAGTAACACTTAAGCCAAATGTGTGCATGAGCTACACTTCTGGATGGGAATATTTCCTTGTGAAAGTTCTGAATCGTACTTTGCACGAATTTGCTTGCCCTCCTCCCCTCCCCCCAGTATAGTTCGAGTTCGCATTGACTTTGATATTTATTACTGTCAAAGTAGCGGTAACTTATAGCTATTATCGTGGATGATCACCGTGAAGATGTCATTAGAAACTTGTGAAGAATACTTACTGTTGAATCTAAATAGGCAAAAAATGCCTTAAATCTTTAAAACGATCATACAGAATATACATAAATTTCACTACGAATATTACCAAAACTGATCAGGTCCGAGTAGCATGCAAATAAGTTCCATCAACAAGATTTGAAACTAAGATTGCCTCTAGAAGTAACTATAGAATAAGTTTTTACATAACTACTATATTTGCAAGAGCCTTCAAAAGCTGCCATCGAGTCCAAATCTACTCACCTCCAACTCTCGCACATACACCCAAACCTGGTTCCCAACTCACATATATACCTGCAATTCATACAAATGTTCCACGTAAGTTTTTCTACATAGAAATGTCTTGCCAGAGTTTTTCTCTGAGAAAAAAATAGAAAGCCATTCTATGGACAGTGGAAAATAATAATTTTGCATCTTTCCATACAAGCGAGAACACGATAGTCATTGCTGAACCGACTAAAAGTATAATGCTTATATTTGAGAAAAGTATTTCAAATTGAAATCTTCAAATTTCATTAATATTATTTTGTTCTATTATGATCTTCTCGAAACAGAAGTTTTCGTTTGTATCTTTCTATTAACATCGCTCTCATAGAGGAACTAACTGAGAATTTTGTTACTCCTTAGCTTTACAATCAAAAACAATGACAACTTCTTCAAGTTCCACTACGAGTGCTTGTAAGTAACTTAGGAATAAGATCTTAAAAAATACTACCCTAAAATTTTTTTATAATAACATTTACTACGAATCTTACAGCGACAACAACAACTACGACGACTTCAACATCAACTACTACTACTATGACAACTACCTCAACAATTACCACAACTACATCAACGACAACAACAACTACTACTACAACAGCAACAACTACGTCGACTTCGACGTCAACGACTACTACAACTACCGCTACAACAGCTACAACAACTACGTCATCTTCAACGTCAACAACAACTACTACTGAAACAACAATGACAACAACGACCATGTCTACATCCACTTCAACGTCAGCAAGCACTACTACATGTAATTTTCACAGTTCAGTCACATATATTGTAGAAACTTGTTCATCTTGTCATTTTAGCCACGACGACTACTACTGAAAAAGATGCATGTGAGTTATTTCACACCACAACGAATTCAGGTCTTGAATTTAAAATATCATTTTAGGTTCTCATTATCTTTGGAATCAAACAGGCGTTGTAGTTGCAGGCACAGGCATAAAAGGTCCAGCTTCTAATCAATTCGATACTTCTGAGTGTTTGGTTATCGATGCAAACAAAACACTTTATGTATGTGATCATCATAATAACCGAATCCAGAAATGGCTTTCGAGTGCAACAAATGGGAGCACAGTAGCTGGTGCCAGCGCGGCCACTGGTGCGAGCGCTATTGGTGATCCTGAATATCTAGCTATGGACAAATATGGATATTTGTATGTTACTGGGCATGTATACGATACCGTTTTACGAATTTCTCCCATTTCATTCGTTGCTACAGTAGTTGCTGGGACCACTAGTTCAGGAACAGGAAATAATCAGCTTAATACACCAACTGATATGGTTCTCGATGATAATTTAAATCTTTACGTTGTTGATTCAAATAATAAACGAGTAATGAAGTGGACCCCGAATTCGACAACAGGAATCGTTGTCATTAGTAACCTGAATAGTGATATGGTTGTTGGAATTCAATTTGCGTCTAACTCAAAAAATGAGTTTTATTTGAGTGATGAAAGAAACAATCGTGTATATTTGTGGGAAGCTGGTGTATCAGCTGCGAACATAACCCTTAGTCAAGTTAATAGTTCTACTAGGAATACTCTAAGCCAACCACACGGAATCACTATAGACTCATATTATAATTTGTATGTTGCTGATAGTGGAAATGATAGAGTAGTGTTGTATTGTGCTAACTCACGCGTTGGTATTCCTGTGGTTGGAGAAACTGGTACTACACCCGTGCTCAGCCAGCCAATGGACGTCGCATTTGACTCAGATTTCAATTTATATGTAGCTCTTCATGACAGTAAAGTAGTAAAATATGCGCGACTCTAACTCGACTATACGTTGCATTTCTGCATACTAACATTATATGATGACATTTTCACTAATAGTTTTTCAGTTGGACATTTATTTTATTACTAATCAAGCTAAAATAAATAAAATTACTAATCTAATCATTATTCATAAGTACAAAAATAAAGATAATGATCGAAATAAAACTCATACACAACATGATCTGTGCATTTTTCAAAATTGATCGATATACTATAGACTATAATTAAGTTCACAAGATTTTGAATGCATAACTGTACACATAGTTGCAGATATTGAAGTAACACATTGGCAGGTATAACTTCCAAAAGCCATAATACAAATCAGTCCTAGTAGGAAATTGAGAGTGATTCACTCAGTCAGACAAAATCAACAAGAACAAAAATGCGTAAAGGAAGTAAAAAATAAGCGTTTTTTTTACATGTTTTATTTCGGAATTAAGCAAATTTTACAAGGTAAAGAGACAGCTCAATACTTTATGATTATTTGTGAGCTAGTTAAGACTATATCTCCTAACTATTTTCATTTTATCCCAACCATGCAATGGTGAATGTATTGATGTTCGGTAAGAATAGAGTTAAAATAATTAAGAGGTATAGTCTTAACTAGCCCTCAAATAATCACGAAGTATTGAATTATCTCTTTATTCTAAAGGATTTGCTTATATGATTATAACAGAAAGTAACCATGTATCGGTAAATAACTGTCACATGCGCAAGTTCCATAACATACATTTGCACTCACTTGTCAATATTTTATTCGAAGATATGTTTTGAAGATATTGACTACTGTTATTATACTTTTCTCTGATGATGATTCTATGATCGCAATAAAATCAAAATAACAATTCATTGACGTAAATGATAACAAAAAAAAGCTGATACACTAGATGACCATAGATCGATTGCACATATGACAAAATTGTCTAAGACGAAGTAAAGCAAATACAAGGAACACATTTCTTGTTCTCTACGCCAGAATATTTCTCAATTGGTTATTCTTATCATATCTTGATTTAATGACAAGAAGAAAAATTTATTTACATGACGAGTATGTCTTTGAGCAATAATCAATGAAATAGTTTATAAAGCAAAAACTAATATCATGAACGCGCTCGAGTGAAAGAAATCTCAGAAAAGGGTGTCGATCTTCTGCTCACTCACATCCATATCCTAAACAAAGTAAAAGTTCAATCTAACAATGTAGCTTACTGATATACAAGAAATCAACTTTTTGTACAGAAGATGAATTGGAAATTTCATAAAGCACTTTTAAAGAGATTAAACTAATCATATGAGTTGAGACTTTTTTCATCAAAATAAGCGTAACACAAAAATATTTTCATATTTAAATTACATTCTCAAGTGTATGCCAATCTGACAAAAACATCAAACAAAATCATTCATTGTCATTTAAATTCAATAGCTCACTCTATCAAACTGATGTTTGAATTCAAGATTCCATGTAACTCTAAACATAAGTTTATTAATTCTTCATTGATTTGAGATAACTAATATAATTCTGCACTATTCAGGCCAACACTCATCGTTCCACTAGTAACTAACACTTTTTCATTTGTTAATAAGGATACTGTGTGTTTTATAGAAATGCAATTAATCTTTGCTAGAAAACGGCGATTTTATGCATCAATATCATAATTAACGCTCGTTGTTTTGGTTCCGTTTGGTTTTATATCAAAAAGTTAATAAATGAACACAACTCATTTTAATAGTTCAAAGATTTCGATCTGTTTTTTTTCTAACTGAATTTTGAAAAAAAAATCTATTGTGTTCTTATAAAAACTTGGATAATATTCATATATGATATGGTCTTACAAAATTCCTTATGTAATTAGTTGAAAAGAAGAGGGTGTGAGGTGTTGGTTTGGATGAATGAAGAGAAGAACCACCCCCACACCTTCTAGGTACTACATGTAATGGGATTTTGGGTGGAGATCTTCCCTTACTACAGCTATGCATAGATTATTTAATAAGAATTGACGAACTGAAGAAGTAGCGCTGTCACCACCTTGATACAGATGTTAATCATACTGCTCCAACACTTCAGTTGTGTACGTCTTCGCAATAGAACACAAGCCTATACCAGAGAGAGAGAGAGAGGAAGAGACAAAGAGAACAGCAAATACATTAAAAAGAACAATAATACGCAGAAAATAAGAATAATAGAATGGCCAACAGGAAAAGAAGACATAACGATGTAGCGGTGATCACACTTCTAAGCGGGCCAAAGGTCAAGCAATGCGTCCGACGGGAGTGCTTCAATTATTGGGATATATATAATAGAAATCTAAGTGCAGTGTTAGGCTTTTTAATACTCTGTCATAAAAAACTTTGATTCTAACAGCAAACGTACGAAAATGATAAAAAATAAAATGTAAGTCTTCTTGATTACGAAATTTTTAAAATCTTTTTTTCTTCATACACAATTCTTTTGCAAATATGTAAATGCAAAATGAATTCCATACATCTATTTATTTTCACATATTACTAGTAGTTTCGCAATTAAGACCTCCCTCATCCTTCAGAAAAAAGTTAATTGTCATCAAAGATTGAGAAAAATATATGGGAAGATCGCTAGAGATGTGGTGTTTCAGAAACAGTGTGATTTTTAATTTGGCACATTCTTTTTTTACCCAAAATTTTTGAAGATATGCGTTCAAAAATATGCATTTTTCAAATAAAATAGATAATTTTTTTTCTTTTTTTTTTCATTTCATGATTTATTCAACACGCAAACAAAAATTCTCTGTCAGCATCATTTGAAAAAAGAGGGCTGTTTAATGCTCTGCATGCTAACATGATCTTTCAAACAAAAAAATAAATGCAAGGAATAGGCCTGAACAGAGAAATTTGGTTTACCAAATAAGCTATTTTTAATCTTTGTTTGATCAATATCATCCTCAAGCGTCATAGTACATGACTGAAAACTTCATGCGATTTGACCGTACCTGGACTGAGATCGGTTTTATAGGGGAACCGTAACTAATTGAATCAAAAAACAAATAAATAAATAAACGAATACAAATAAGATTGAAGTTCAACGGAATCTGAACGTAAAAAATGAAAAATATTTTCAATTGATAACGCATCATTAATAACATCTACTTTGTTTCGAAGAACAATATTGTTTTGATTATGTTCTTTACTTTCACTATCACTACTATTAACTATTTGAATTTGTTATTTGTTTTTTAAAAAATGGCTTGCCTGTGCCTGAGACATTTCGAAGGATAGAATTGTTTATGTCGTTTTATAGTTGCTGATGATGAATGATGTAAAAAGTAAATTGACCATATTCGTTTTTGAAGTTTAATGTTACCTGATGGACAATTATAAAATTCCATCGTAATTTATTACGATGCAAGAAATTTTCTAAGATTACCTCATCTTTCAGTGGTCCCTATCCTTTCTCAAATAATCAAATGTTATTATTGGCTGACCCCTTCCTTCTAAACTTGATTACGTAATTGATTGGTTTCATTGTTATTTTCTGATATTTTCTTCAGTTTAAGCACAACTACAATGACAAAGTTTGAACAACTACCAAACGAATTACGACTAATGTGTTTCCGTTATTTTGATTTCTACAATTTGTATGAAATATTTTATTATTTAAATCAACGCTTTAAAGAATTAATTGAATACCAAACAAAAATTTGTATTTATTTACATTCAATTCCATCTAGAAAATTTTTAACATTTTGTTTTCAATTAAATCAATTAATAACAACACGTCAAAACTATCCTTTATCAATTATAGCTCATGATCAGTACAAACTTGATGTAATGTTAGAAGATGATTTATTTAAAGCAACATTTTCTAAATTAAAATCATTAACATTATCAAACATAGAGACTGAAACTATATATTCTATTATATTTGTTAAAACAGCAGAATTATATCAAAGATTAGAACGATTAAATTTACTAGTTAAAATCAAGGGAGAATTTGGCAAATACGATGACATAGAACGTAAGAATAACAATATTTAATTATCTTTGTGATACAAACTCGCCTTTATATATTTAGGCTTATGTAGTAGTTTGATATCATCAAAAATGAAATTATTAAAATATTTGATGTTAAATTTTGAACGATCTTGGAGTGTATGTGAATGTAATTTGTACATGCGTTCAAATTACCTTGATTTAGAATTTACTCAATTAGTAGAAGGAGAAAAATCATTTAGTCATTTAGAAACAATTATTATTGGCAGTAAGTTATTTTAATACTATGTTCTTCTAAACATGTCTCTAACTTATATCCATAGGTATGTCTGATGATTGTTATCTTTCAGAAACAACAATATGCTTTCATATATTGATAGAACATTTATTACCATGTCTACCAAAATTAAAAAATTTAATTATAGATTCAATTCATTTTGAAACGTTCTATGATCGACAAAAATATCAAGTATGCGAAAAGCATGGTTAGAAATCATCAATCCAAAGTTTTAATCTGAATCTAATAGCCATTGGAAAAAAAGAGATGATGTCATAAGAATGAACTTATAATTGACTTTCCTATCTCTTGGATCGGATTTATCAATCGAGTTTAGACTAGTGATCGTGACCAAAAAAAAGTTGGTCACGCCGGGAACTAGTTTCGATACACTATGATACTATTTTTCAGAAAGAAAATTTCTATACACTCTAAAAAAAAAAAGGTTTTTTACAGAACCTCCGAAAAAGGTTCCGTAGACTTGAAAAAGCTTGCAAATGCATTCAAATGCTTAGAAAATGATTTTTCAATTCTACGAAACCTTTTTCCTGCGAAACCTTTTTTAAGTTCCGTACAGCAGAAAAAGTTTCGTAAAAAAAATACGAAACCTTTAAGGTTTCGTATTAAATTCTAACGGCTTTTTACTAAACACTAATGGTTTCGCACTAAACCAGTAGAATTTAATGCGAAACTTCAAAGGTTTCACAGAAAAAAGGTTCTTCCCCTGTATACACGGGAAGAACCTTTAAAGGTTTCGTAGAACTGAAAAATCGTTTTCTAAGCATTTGAGTGCATTTGCAAGCTTTTTCAAATCTACGGAACCTTTTTCGGGGTTCGGTAAAAAAACCTTTTTTTTAGAGTGTAGAATTTTTCTGCAATAGGAACCATCAGCTACAACAACAAATTCAATTTCGCCATTAAATTTAGAAGTAATTAAAATCTGGATTCAGGAAAACAAGGACGCGGAAGACGATATGAAAAAAAATATAAATTTAGTACGAAATTTCTTTATTAATAACAACTCGTATGATATTACAACAATTAAAGTATTCAAAATTAATAATAATAATGTTTTTTAGAACTTTGTCTGTTTATCATTTATATGATAAACTTTCATATTTAACTTTTTTTTATTATGAAGAAAACAAATTCTTCAAATATTCTTTGTTTATGTGGTTGAATAAAGTAGAAAAAGAAGTAAAACATTTTCTCTTCTTATCTATAACATTCATTTTGAAATAATGAAAAAAAGCGAATTATGTTCTTGTACTTTTGTATTTAGCTTCACGTTAAATGACATAATCAAGATACTATAAATTTAGAGAAAGTTTTTTGTTTTTTCTATGCCATATAATAAACTTCTAATGAATAAATTTTTTGTCACAGTGGCTATCTCTAAGGTATGTTGAGCTTTATGAATATCATCTATATCAAATCTTCATTCTACAATAAACTATCAATGACAATTTCTTTGTCATATTATTGATTTTTTTCATGTGAAACTTAAACAAAATCTTTATGCCAACAGTGTGTTATCATTTCAGTGTGATCTACTACATTAATATCGAATGGATTGAGACCTCACATTCGTACCTACATTTATGATTATCATAATAAGTAAGAGAAAAAGGGTCATATCAATAAGTTTCTGTTTATATGTGCCACGTGAATGACGTGAAAAAAGAACTCGACTTAACCAGAGATGAATTCGTGCAGTCAGATAATATTCATGTTGGTGTTCAACAAGCAAAGTGAGAATATGGGTTATTTTAGACTGTCATATTTCTTTTCGTTCTTTAAAAAGTAACCGTTTGACCATTCGCCTTTTCGATATAAATAGACACGTATCAATACTCAAATCGTTTGGGATTAAGTGGAGGCCTAGTATTCGAGCTCTTCAAACTACTTCAGTTTCAATATGAATCTTTTATCTAAAGTCTACTGTTTATATTTAATATATTTCTTATTATATATAGGGTATCTCAAAAAGATAGGTCTCCCACATCGTTTTTTATTCAAGCCTTTATTTTATTTTCAACGAACAATGGTGTTGGTACGTTGATCATATGATTATATAGATATGTCTACCTAGTAAATCCAGCCACTATTTATTTCTTTTGTTTATTATTCTATCTGTGAGAAGTATTAAAAAAAGAAAGGAATTACTATCCCAAAATTATAGGACATTTCATCAAAACATCAACGTTCATAGGATTGGAGATTAGTTGTTCGAATTTTTTTTCTTTGCAATATATATGTATGTAAATTGGTAATTTTCACTGTGGTGAACACTTTGACACACTTTAGTCGTATGTTAGATATGTATTTGGTATCATTTCAAGTATATCTCTTCCTATAGTATATATTTGTGACAAAATGTTAGATGAATTCTTCACGATGCAGCTGAATATGAAATTTATGTCAAGTGTGAGTACGTTAAATTCTAGACAGTAGGATGTTGGTGTATGAAACTGAGATTATCTCAACCCATTAAAAAGATTTTCGTTGAAATATTCATAAATTAAAATTAATGATTTCAAATGAACAAAAGGGTTCATTCTCAAAACAGATACAATTTTTGTATAGGCAAACACTAACGAAAGACACTTTTAACAGCTATTACATCTTATACATCAGCTCAAGATTTGAGAGACGCTCGTTATTTAGAATAGTTAGTTAATCCATACATTTGATAGATGATGAGTAACTTCGATAGATTTGGTTATTCCACATGCAAATGTCTTAGTGACAAATGATGAAATCGTTGTTCTGTTGCTTTGTACAAAAGATATGTTTTGATAAGTGATGACGACATGTGCAAATAAAAGACAGAAGAAAACGACTTGCTTGTGTCAAACACAACGAACACTGAACGAGTTACCTGTCCGAAATAGAATTCCTCAACGAATAACTCACTGAAATTGAAATCAGTATTTGTAAGGGATGATATGATTAAGTTATCGTGAGGAAGATAGGTTTCATTAGATGATTTAAAATGTATTACTATTCACAGGACATTTTCTCTGTCTGTTTCGATAAGAACGTTGAATTGACACATAACATGAGCTAATCTTCTGCTTTTATTATTAATATGATTTGATATTAATAATTTAGTAAAAATTAATGACTTTTTTATCTCAAGAGTGTGACTGTGAGTTTTCTCTTCATCTTCACCCACACCCACACCTTCGTATAATTACCGACCAAACAATGGGTTATTTTAACGCGGTAATATGTGCCCTTTTTTTTTACACTAACAAATCGATGAAAAATTAAACTTCATTTGCGTGAAAGGTAATTTTGCGGACATCATCGTTTTCAGACTCGCTTTCTTCGTTAAAAAAACTGCTTTTGTTTGTTGAAAATGTCAAAACTCAACGTGTCAACAAGTAAAAGCATTTTTCTTTTTGACTCGACTCTTTTTTCTTTTCGTCAATAAATTTTACCTGTCACATATAAAAAACACGCAGAGAGAAATAGATTCATTTGCTGCTATTTACCTGAAGACAACACATCGTTGTGCAAATTCAACGTAAGTAATTTAATGAAATGAATGCAAGCTGAAACTTATTTCACCTTTTGCAAATATCTGTGCCTCGACACATACTTCTATAATCAAAGGTTTTGTTAAACGATGTCGAAATTTACGAGTGAGAATAATGGAGAGTTTAGGGCCTGTTTATTGACAGCTCTTCCGTTTGACTTTGACTATGATCTTTTTTACTATTGAACACGAATCGGCAAATATTTTGAAGCAAAACTTTATTGAAGTGTACGATAGAAATGTTGGTGTGAAAAAGCATTAGGGTGTGAGTATAATGGCGTGGGGGGTGAGAGTGTAGATGTCAGTATTCTCTTCGGCTCCTTCGACACTCATAGCCGCTCTTATACAGCTCACACTCACACCCTCATATAAGCAAATATAGTAAAGATTAAAATAGTGCATATGTTTTCAAAGAAAAATTCAATACTAAACCTTATGACTGTGACATTTCTAAAATGCATAATAGTTGACCTATTCGACTGTAAAACTCATCATAAGTTTGGTACAAACTTTCTAAATTACTATCCTTTTTTGAGGTTTGGTATATGTGCTCAATGCTCCAAATGATATAGAAAAGTTTCACTACACCTCATAGTTTTCGAGTAGTGCCTATCTTTAGATTTGTCGAAACCCTGCAAAAGGTCGTGACCCTTTCGTCTGCAAAAGTTGATCATATGATATAAAAATCTATTAACATCATCATAAGAATTATTATTGACACAGCGGTAAAGTCTTAAAAATATATGTCAGATGTATTTTTTTTAAACTTTGTTTTAAATTCTAAAATATCAGTTACGGTTTTTTTTTGAAAAGAATTTTAAGTTCTTATGAATCGCATCAGGAAAACTCTGAATCAAATAAGAACAGACTAAGGAACAGAATATACTGAAATCTTTCATGTTGTAGTAACTTTAGCAAGGAAAACTAACTATTCTTGGAATTTATTAAATTTTCTTTCACCGTAGACAGTGTAAATTTTTTTGATGAATCATGTTCTCTTAGCTACAAAGCTAGAAGCATAAAAAGCAAAATATCTGTTTGTTTTGAAGATGGAAGTTATAGACAATAGAAATAGTGAATGTTTTTATTGATTATACATAGGATTAATCATGGCAAACAATCATCATCAAATATGCAATGATCATGGAAGTTATATTCCTTGTTTTGAAAAGAAACTGATCGAAGAAAACCGTGAAGATGGTTATTGGATTGAAGCATTTCAAGTTGATAATCAAAGTCCTATTGGTTTAGTAGCCTATGGATTGGGTAAAGGACAAGTCAATTTTTATCCAAATCCGTGCACAACTGTAGAACCTGAAAAATCAATTCCTATTCAAAAGCTAGCAGGTCCTGTGGCCATGGATCAAGCTGATATCACAGGCAATGGATTTAATGACATTATCATTTGTTATCAATATGGTAATACTATGAAAGATTGTGATCCTCAAGGCGGAAAGATTGTATGGTTGGAAAATCCAGGACAGAAAAATGATCAAAACTCATGGGCGTCACATTATATTGGCAAATCTATAGCGATGCACAGACTTAAAGTTGGTCATTTCACACAAACTGAACGATGGGAGATTATAGGCCTTCCTATTGTAGGTAAACCCTTTGACTTACTCTCACCAGTACCAGTGCTATTATTCCGTCAACCTGATGATGTTTTAAATGCTGAAGAATGGCCTTGTGAAATAATTAATGAAGAATTTTTTCATCTAATTCACGATGCAAAAAAATGTCATGGTAATCCATTAGATAATCTTCTTATTGCATCACGTGAAGGTATTAATTGGCTCTATTTTAATGAAACAATTCAAAAGTGGACTATTGAAAATATTGGAGAAGGTGAACAAGGAGAAAAACAACAGATACCTTATTACGGTAGTGGATGCGTGGATGCAGGAAAAGTTGGAAATGATTCTTTGGCTTATATTGCTACTGTCGAACCTTTTCATGGAAACGTAGTTGCCGTCTATGTCAAAGACACTAACAATAGTTTGAAGCATATTCAATGGAAAAGATATGTGCTAGATGTTTATGGATATCCTAATGTACATGGCGAAGGTCCAGCTCATCATGTCGTTTGTGCTGACTTTGATAAAGATGGAGATGAAGAATTCTTAGTTGCACTTCGAGGACCATTACCCAATCAAGGTGTCTACTATTATAAACCTATTGATATCTCTCGTGGTTTATTTGCCAAATGGAAAGTGAGCGATGACTCTGCGGCTAGAATCGCTGTTGCAGACTTCAATAATAATGGCCTTCTTGATTTTGCAACTATTGGCTATTATGTTCCTGGCTACTATACAGCTGAAAATCCTTCTATTAGCATTTATTACAATCGATTTGCTAACAAAAACGTACAAGGTACCAAGGAGCTACAAGTTACAAAGCAAAATAATGAACTTCTATTCAAAGTTCCAAGACCACACAAAGCATTACAATACGAAATGATGCCATTTATAACAGTAGGAGGTATAAGTTTATCTTTAGAAGTGATACCACCTAATAGTTTGCGTCAAATCGACAAAAATACTTATGTTAAAGTTCTTTCTGGAATTATAAGGTGGACAAAGTCTTCTACAGAATTATCTCAAACTGTAAATCACTCGCGCACCTTTGTCTGTGAACCAAAAACTGTTTCATCTCTTGCCATATGCAGTAATGAGAATGTAATAACAACTGGAAATGAAGGCGCACTTTTGATTGTATTGAAAATGAACGAAACCATGAATACTATTCCTCGATTCGATTCTATGGAAAAAGTTACTATTGAGAACGTCTTACCAGAATACTGTTCTGAAGAAGCTCGTAAACTTAGTTTTCAATTTATGAGATGTGATAAATATGATTGGGGAAAGGAGAAATTCAAAGGTCTTGAATTCTATAATATGAAAGGGTTTGATATTAAGTTTGCTGATAATGATGAACATCTTTGCTATATTCAACTATGGGCTGCTGAACAAGGTACAAACTGTGAAGTACACAACCATGCTGACGCTTTCTTCTGTGAAGTTCATGCTTGTATTATCAATGGTACTGGGAAAGGTGGCATCCAGTATCTTATAAGCTCCAAAGAAGACTATGATCCACTTAATACGCCAAACTCACAATTTCAGAGGTTAGAAGTACCTTCTCTTTATGAACATGGTCCGTTATGGGATATTGATGAACAGAAAAAACCGGTTTTACGAAAAGATGGTACCGTTTTATATCCTTGGCACAAATGGCAACCTGGCACCGATGATTCATCGGTTAAATCATTTGATATATGGATAGCTTTTCAATTCAATGCTCATTTATCAACAATACCTTGAAAGGACCAAAGCAAACTTCTAGCTTACACATGCAAAATAAATTAACTGACTCTTCATTGAAAAAATATTAAAAAATAACTCTTATCTTTTATCTTCACCACAAAACTGCTATTCTCTAGTGATTTTTCTTTTATTCTTTTTGTTATTATATTAGTTTCCCAATAGGCTTAAGTTAGACAACTTATATTCATGTGAATTAATGTGAGAATATCGATTTTGAATAACCTACAGTCAATGTCCCTGATAATAATAATATTTTCCAAGGCTTGAATAGGTTTATTTTTATTAAGTCATTTCTATATTAAAATATAAGCATTTTTACAGCTTTGAGTTCAAAAATGTCTGGTGAATCGAATAACATGCAGGTAGGTATTTTTTGGAATAGCTTTGCATCCCAACCACATATAGACTTCGAAATTTTGTCGTTTGAAAGAGGCTTACTCAGCGCATCGATCCATACATTATTGTTGAAGTTCATTATATGAACCAATAGTAGAATAAGGTCATCCTGAACAATTAACCTTTTGCTCTATGAAGAAAGAATAAATTTTTTAATTTTGAGAAATGGACTAATATCACCAGCTGACAGTCTACAAATTGACGAAAGATCGAAATTTCTAGAATGTGGATGCGGGATATGGAGTGTGTGTGACTGTGTACAAGGTCTGTCTTTTAGTGCATACTCTTGTAATCTTTCAAGCTACGCCAACTTCCTCTATGACTCCATAATTTTCCTTTTGAGTCATTGTATACGTAATCCATTTGTCGTGTTCTTTCATCATTATTTGTTGTCGCCGAAAGTTTATGTTTTTTTTTCTTTTCGTCGTTTTGAGTCACCACACGCTTGTATTGGTTCTTTTTTTTGCGTCGTATTTGTTTTTGTCTTCAAATTGTGGGCGTATGCTGCTCTTTTCATTCCTATATAACATGCCACTTTCTATACCACATTCCTCGTTTTCATCATTCTGCAAAACAAATATACTTTTATAACTTCACTATGACTGTTCGTGTTGTTTCATATAATTTATTAGTACCTATCTATGCTGATCGGCCAGAGTATTACTTCAAATGCCAGCCTGAATATCTTAAAACCGATTATCGATGGACTTTAATCCAATCTGAATTAGAACAAGAGATTGTCAATCATGAAAATACGATCATCTGTTTACAAGAACTATCTCTTCCTCTATTACCTAAACTCGAATTATTGTTCCGTCGATTAAATTACACATTCTTGCATAATCTATATGGTGATCGGCACAACGATTATATGGGTGTAGGTATGGCGATTCCCATCTCGATGCAGCTTAACTCCATTTCTATCATCAAAATTGGAGATCATATACGCTTGATGTGTCAACCGCGTGAAGAAGAGACGCAACTTTTTTCATGGGGTTGGAATCTATATCAGTTTGCCATGAGCAAATTCATACAACCCACATGTGATCCTTGGGAAACTGCTATGGCCAGAGCAAATACACTCATTTATTTACAAGTCGTGATCGATAGTAAACCATTATGTATTGCTACGTACCATATGCCTTGTCTTTACAAAAAACCTGATGTCATGGCAATCCATTCTTCGATTGTGAAAGATTTAATGTTTCAATTAGCAGCTGGACAAGATTTTATCTTAGCAGGTGACTTCAATATCAAACCTCGGGATCTCTGTTATCAACTTTTAACAGAAAAAGGTGATGCTCAGTACAATTTACCGAAATCTAATACTTATGAAATCTCATATCGACCAAATCATGAACAAGTATTGAAGAGTGCTTATCGAGAGAAGAATGGAACCGAACCGGTTTACACAGATTTTTCTCATACACCCCATTCGCCAAACTTTTGTGAGACACTGGATTACATCTTTTTTAATGGTAGCCTTACTGTAGAAAAAGTGTTGGAATTACCAGATCATCCAACTGGTGAATCTTATCCTGATGAAACACATCCTTCTGACCATATAATGATTGCCGCGACATTCCAATTGTGATAAATTTAAAAAAGACGTTGGCGTTTTTTTCTTACCCTCCCGACAGGACAAACTTGCGCTCATCTATAAGAAATATTAATTTTTATGCACATAAAAAAAGGAGAGCTTTAAATCACCGAAGAGGAAAACAGAAACTAATGCAAATAGTCATTTAGTACTATTTCTCTAAAGTTTATATTCCTTCAGTAAAAATAAAATACAAGTATGCTTTTATATTCAGAATTTGAAATCATTTCTACTCTTCAATTTATCATTGCACTAAAGTAGGATGTGGGTATGGATGGGTGTGTGGGTGAGAATGTGGATACTAGTGTGGGTGTAGGGTGTGTATGAGAAGAGATCTTAAGAAACTACCACAGCCACGCCAACAGCCGCCCACACCTACATTTGCACTCACACCCAACCCACACTCTTCAAAAAGCTATAGCTACAAAATACTTGATATTAATTTCACTATGAATCATTGCCATAGTAATGGAAACGCGATGATCAATTTGATTCTTAATTGCTATGTAATCAAACAGAAGCAACGGGACTAGAAGCGAAGTGATTGTTATAATACATTTTCAATGTAAAAATGATTTGAGCACATCAATATTTCAGTGAGAGCTTTTGACTTTTACAAAGAAATTTTCTAACATGAGGAATCTGTACTTTATCCTGCGTCAGTAAATGAATGACGGATAACGTTGAGAGACTAAACTACAGGAAAATATGCTTTTGCATTTCAATCGTGTTTTCTTCGAACGTTTTTTAAAATGATTCATTCGTAACAAGATTTTTTTCCGTGAAAAGGAATTCTACACACCGTAACTGTTATATTTCCATTTTTGAAACAATCATAGGAATAAAAATCAACAATTTAGATATACCTATATCGGTCGCATTCATGTACTGAAACGTTGTTGATAACTTGTTCAATAAAGTAACCAAGAAAAGTTATTGAAACAAATTCATTTTTCGTAACTCGTTTTAGTAGATATGAAGCGAATATATTTCACATTTAAAACTCAGCGGGGTGACTTTGAAAGAACTTTTTTTGCCAAGCGCAACAAATAGAAGAACCTGCAAACAATATTGTCAATAGATCAACTATGTGAAGCAATATCAAGTTTCGTAAAAAAATTCTTCGATGTATTTAAGTTGAAATTATTTTTGAACATGAGAAAAGCATGATTAGTTATCATGTGTACTATCAACATTGAATGCCATTGTATATACTTACTCGAATGACGATTAGCAGAAGATCACCTTGTCTCGTTTCGATCGAGAACCCATTTGAATACTCTGTAAATCGTTGACTAATCGATGAAAACTATTTTGATGCAATCTTCTTGAATCGTGTCAATTGATACTCAGCTAAATACAATTGAAGAGAGCGATGAAATAAATGATAATTATAGAAATAGTCATGTAGTTTTTCAATTAAATCAATATAATTAGAAACATTTTCGTATTCAAGAAAAATTTGTTCATTGACAAGTAAAGCATGCATTCTCATAGCATTATCATCATCTCGTATAGGTTTCACTTGATCCGATGTTTGACATTCATGTTGAAAATTGTAAACTTCATTGAGGATAAAAATATCCGATGTTTGTTGTTCATTTAAACCTTGTGAAAAAAAATACAATGCCATATCAAGATCGATTGTATATCGACAGCTCGATCAAGTGGTAACCATTCAAAAAATAAATCAGCATTAATTCTTGAATCGTGATGCGCAACTAGCATCATCAACATGAAGTTGTTACGATTTTTCTGAAATGTTGTTCTGTGTATCTAGAAGAAGAATTTTGATGATGTCGATATGTTTTTCATCTATACAGCATAATCAAGAGCAGTTTGATCAGAATAATCCTATTCTTTAGGGTCTGCGCCGTATTTTAAAAGGCCATTAACAATTTCGAGATGATCACATCGAGACGCTTCATGCAATGTATTGTTATGATAGACTCTCGGAAGATTACATCCTTGGTTTAATAGATACTCGACCAGTGTTTGATGATCTTCTCTAACAGTGACTAGTAAGATGCTAGTTTTATTAATATTTGCATGAGCATGTTTAATGAGTTCTCGAACAAGATTCAAATTACCTCTTTCGCATGCATAATATACTGGTGTTCTATCAGAATAAAAATAGCCATCTATTATGACTCATAATTTAAAGTCAAAATTCACCACAATGGTACGATAAGATCGAATCGGAATTTCTAATCAAGTTATGTTTGTCTTCACTTTTTTCACACAATCTTTCGTGGCCGTATTAAAATTAGAATATATCTTGTTAACCATACCTTAACGTAAATGGTACAACAGAAAACGTTGATTTGTTTTCTCTTGAGTCATGAGTTTGTCTTTTTGATAAAGTTAGCTACACATGCGCTGTTCGTATGTGGTAGCTTCTCTTTTGAGACATCTTTGAGAGAAAAAGCATAGTACCATCAAAGCGGCAGCCTCAATAATATAATATATTCTTTTGATGTCGCAATGTGAGAATGAATGGGAGGTATCCACCTAAATGTCATGTCGTTGGGAAATATTCTAGTTCTGTCGATTATATCTCATCGCAAACTTAATGGTGACTCACAGCAAAAGAAATATAACGCAATGTATGTTATCGAGATATTTCCATTTAAGGATGTGGATGATGCACATGGCTAACATGTACGTCTGCGAGTCATTATTGAAGAGCAGCGTATGATCGAAAACAAATTAACCATGTTGAAATGAATTTTTGGGCGTGATTGAAGAGAAAATCCATGCTAATACCTATACACCATAAATGAATACTCAAAACAGTGAAAACCCTATTAGTGAACACCTCTCTACTCTAAAAACTAGTTTAGATGAACACGTAAATTTTGTTTTGCTTTCTTCTCTGTTTTTTTCCTAACTAATTCACTAAAACTGACTACTTATTGTTTATTACAAGTGTACATATCAGGCAAACCATGATATCTTAACGTCTTTTTACATTAAATGATGACAATGGTGGTAATCATCTACCACAACGTAAATTAGCTGAAAAATATAATATTTCACTTTGTTTTATGTCATATATATCATAATGAGAAAAAGAATTGTTACATGATTATCAAACAAATCAGAATCGAAGTATTAAACGGAAATTCAAAAGTTTCGATTCTATAAAATCAAAATTAATTGACATTTGGATTGATTTGAACAACAAAGGCAACCAAATAGAGAGGACTTTTTAAAAATAAGTTAAGCTTTTTGTTTTATTCAAAAATTTTTTAATTTAAATAAATTATCATGAGGAAAAAAGATGAAAAGAAGAAAAAGTAAATTCCAATTACTTCAAAACTATTACAAGGAGCGCATCTTCTGAAATTTCACTTCATTTTGCAGCAAGCCCCATGCCACCTTTCTCCAAAACTAAACACTTTTTGAAAGTTCCGACGGTGTTCATCTAAGAGAGGTTTTACTGTAGATAGTATTCAGCATGTTTGATTCTATCCTTGATAATATGTCTCTTCTTATATATTGAAGTGTTGCTAACAATATATTCATTGATCTTTATTTTGTGGAATTTTACAGTAATGTTTTTTCCTTTAAAAGCACTGATTGAGCGGTAATATCTTTAATGAAATGAAAATTTCACGCACGATATGACGAGAACCTGATTCATTATTAACGCACTAAAAGTTGAAAATGGATTGTGATTGAAATGATTCAACCACATACGATCAATTATTGGCTTACTGAATAATTATTTTGAGTATCTTCTAGAATTATTGAATGTAGCTTTTGAAGAATATATACGTTCTTCTAGAAAAATCAAAAGAAACGAAATTTTAAATTGAATGTCCTCCCTTTCAATCCCTTTATATTGTAGTCAAGGAATACTTTTCACAGATGTCATATCGTGATAATAGATCGTATGTGTAGCAATGAAAGATACACATAGCATTTTCTTATGCAGCTACCTTTTTTAAGTGATATGATTGGGTGAAACTTAACAAAAATTCTTTATTTTCTCCAAAACGCTTTCTCTTAACAAAAAAAATCAAAGTCAGAATTTTGCGCTACTTGCTGATCCAGTAACTGATGAAGTAGTTGCCTGCGTAATGGTAAATCCTCACCCGTAACTAATGCTAATTCAGAGGTAGATAGCCACTAATTTCAGATCTTTGAACCGATGCACCCTATAAACGCTTGTAAGCAACAAAAAAGGTTAAGGTCTACTCATTAATGATACAAATTAATAAAATGTGCTACGATTCAATGCAAGGCTAGATAAAAAAAAAATATTTTTCTTGAAAAAATCAAGATATATTTTACAGAAATCTGTCCGACTCCATAAAGCTGGAGTGCTGTGGAGTCCCTTGTCTCTTTCTTGGTCTATCATCTACAACACGGTAATCTGTTCAATTGCACCATTGTATCTATTTGTCTGAAACAAGTTTGTAAAGTGCACTTCCTTTTAACTTAATCCCCATATATGTTGTTTTCCTTTGTGTCATATCAAATACATTTCCAAATGATTGATGACTCAAGTTGATTTTATCTAATAGTAAAAGAAAGCCTTTCTTTTCTTCCTTTCAAAAGATATGCAATATAATATATGTGAAATACTTTTGAGTAGGTTTGGTGACTATCATTATCATAAACCAAGTAAGTATCATTTAGTTATGTCTTCTTCTAAATTATTCAAATGATTTTTTTATGATATACAATGAAATTTGTCGAGCAAAGTGTAGAAACGGTGCCACTTCAAAATACTATTCGTCGATTAATCTGCAAACTTTATAAACGTCTATTTCCATTTATCATGCTCCTCAAAATATGTTCGTTAAGTTCTGAATATATTATAAATATTCTGTGTACGTTTCTTTGATACAACACTCCAGAACTTTCAGTTTCTATAGGTCATACTCGATTAACTACATTTAAAACTGATCTAGGCTTATCTAGAACAGAAAAGAACTAGGTAATATCTTTGGTTCACGTAGCTTATGTAAATTAGAATCGGACGTATTGTATCGCAGACATCGATCATAATAGTCAGATAAACAAAAGATCATGAAAAACTGGTGGATATAAGAGTTACTTAAAATTCCCTATCTAACAGTGAGTCGAAGGTATTGAAACAAAATATTTTTTCATGTTCGGATCATTTAAGACTGTTTCAAAGAAGTTAAGAGCAATCTAGTATATTAAAGTTTCGAATTGCAGTAGCTAAAACGAAAAACAAAAGTATAACAAAATCTCTATCCAAACGATGTTTCGACCTTGAATCTTATTCTACTCCATAACGTTTAGCTCCTCTGAAATACTTTCAAATCATCAAACAAAACCGAACACCTATTTTCACATGCTTAAGCTCATTCATATTCAAGTTTTTTTTTTTCTGTAGTCCATAGATTTTAATGCATCAACCTTGTAGACTAGAGTTTAGAGCTGTTAGTATAATCAATTATAAAATTAAAATATGAAATACGGCGTTGCTGCTGTTATGTATATGAAAATTCTTCTATTTGATTTATTTCCCGACACATTTCTTTATCATTGTTTATTGACACCCGAAGTAGTTCATATATTCTAACAAGATGTTAGTGGCATATGGATTTTTATCATATACTAAAAAAAAAAACGCTTTTTGCGGTTATTATGGGTGTGGGTGTAGGTTCTGTCAGATCTGCTCTTCACATACCCACACTCTAAAATCCAATAAAATACAACGAACGAATGATTCATTTACCATTATAAAGCATAGTCATTGTCACGATTTTTGTTACTTAGTCATCTACTTGAAATAGTTCCCCGAGAATATTATTAATAGATATCTAGTAAATGAGACATATCATCCACTACCAGCGCAAACTCAGAAGAAGCGTGAATCATTGGTTAGTTGCATGCTGGATTGTTCCTTTTACATAAATAATGCATTTACATAACCGATACTGATTCACTTATTCATATAGTTGTTCGCCTCAGCCGTCATTGAAGTGGCCAATCACACATTCATTATTTGCATTTTTAGGCAAAATTTTTTCGTTCTTCTTCGCGACTGTATGTATGCACACACACTTATTTCGTTTTCATGACATTGATTGAAAGTTGAAATGAAAGCTAAAATCGACATCATAAAAAGAAATTTTTGAGCACTTTGACGTTGCTACATATTTCAGCAAGATTGAAACGAAGAAAGTATTTATGTGAATCGATTTAATCATTTTAAAAATCTTCACACAGAGAAAATACCCAAGAATATTGGATGATACATTGAATAATATGATTCTGCACCGAGGATTTTAGGATACTGCCATGAACTGCAACATAGTGAACGAAACTGCCCTAATAGAACAAGTATACGTACTTGTATTGATTAGTTTAGTGAAGTAATATTATAGAAATATAAATGACTATCAATGTTGTACATTGAACTGTAATTTCGTCGGGTAAAACCTTGATGGAGTTTATCCAATAAAGAATTTCCTATGGAAAACCAATGAAAAGAGCTGAAAAATTAATCTTGACTTGACGACTTTAATTTCCGTGACAAATCATAAACATTAATATAAAATTGTTGGATCAATTACAGCTTGCTTTTTCGTATCTCTGCTGAGTCTTATTTGTATGGTTGTGGTCAATAGCTAAATTTTCCATTCGAAA